TTATTCCCAACTGATGTAGGATGTCAGTTTAAAAAATCAATAAAGGGAGGCTCAGATAGTTTGAATGAAGTATCTGTAGGCATATGGTTCTTGTTCTTTGGCCTCAGAGGACCAGAATGACATCACTGTGTTGAAATCAAGGTACAGTGTTTGACTATGGCTAATCAGAGGAATACAAGTTCAGAACATTCTACCACAGGTTGGGCACAAATAGTACACGTGAACATTTGGAGCAGAGATGTCTCTAAATTTGAGCATCTCATGTTTCTTTTGAGCTACCCAATTCTGCTTTGTTTGTACCCCACAGTGCCTTCTTTGGTGTGGGCATGCCATGCTGGTTGATCCTGTGCCAGTGTGTCGCATGTCTCACTGTTGATTCCAAAGTTTTTCAGAGAGATCTTGAGAGTGTCCTTAACCATTCTTCTGACCTCTGTGTGAGCACTCTCCATGTGTGATTTCTCTCTAGACTAGTCTTTTACACAAACCTATATTGGGCATTCGAACAACATGGCCAGAATGCTTGGCAGTTCAGTCCCAGAAAGGACCTCAGTGTCCAGTACCTCCTCTTGTCAGGTGATTGTCAAAACTTTCCATTTGCTGTAACTAATGGCTCCACATATGGATAGTGTTGTGCTAACTGGTAGAGAATCTATGTTTTCTTGATGTTAACCATCAGGCCAGATTTGGCACATGCATCAGACAAGCGATCCATATGCTGTTGCATTTCAGCCTCGGAGGCTGCATTGAGTGCACAATCATCTGTGAACAAAAGGTCACACACCAACTCTCCTTTCACTTTAGGTTTGGTTTGTAGCCTTTTCAAGTGAAATAATTTATCATCAGTGCAGTAACTAATCTTGATGTTATTTGTGTCTTCATTGAAGGCATCTGACAACATAGCTGAAACCATCATGCTAAAAGGCTGTGGCATCCACACGGTCCCGCCTACTATAAAAGAAACTGAAGCAGAGCTCTGAGTACTTGGCATTTTATTAAGGACTCATGGAGGACCTCAGATCTTCCTCATGACCTGAGATGCCCTCTTCCTCTAGTTTCCTTAGTTTTATTGTGATTGATACAGATGAAGCAGACTAAAAGTACAGAATCTCATTGGATGATAGACCTTGTCCTTGACCCTACAGGATGGTCTACACAAAATAAAGAATCCCATTGGTTGAGAAATGGGCTAATGAACAGACCTTGACAGATCTTTCTTGATGTTTCAGGAGATCCTACCAAGCCTATGATCAGACACCTGGTCTGGGCTGATAAACAGATGTCAAAACATTTACACGGTGTGATGGGCCGGTAGCCAGGCAGGCCACTGGCCGGCAAACAGGGCTGCTTCTTGGCCAAGTGCACGTGCTCATCTCCCCAAACGAGGCAATAAAGGGATGATGAGAGACAGAGGGGCAACGAAAATCGCTGGGGGGCTTCCCATGTAACTGAGTCACCTCCACCATTCTGGGCTTGGTCACCATAAGATGGAAAAACAAGGGTGGAGGTCCTCTAGTTAGCTTCCCATGATAAAGCAAATGAACTTACAATTTGTAGTTCACAGCTCTGGGGCCTAATATCAGAATTTATAATCACCACCTCTATAGAATCATAACAAACTGATTCATATGGCTTTTTATATAAAATAGGAGTCCAGTAAAATAGCGCTCTAATTAACCATCTATCACAAGGCAAAGGAGCAAGCACACAGACCTGTTGTGCTGTGTTATTGACTTTAAAAGCACCAGAAGATCGTCCATCGGGCAGAACCCAGGCAAGCTGGTTGTCAAGGAACTGGCATACAATGCAGAGGAACTTCTCCAGGCAAGCACATTTTGCCACGACCTTCCACAAGCCCTCAAGACTGAGAGAATCAAAGACTTTGGTCAGAAAGATGAATGTTGTGGGCAGACCTCTGTTTTGCTCATAGTAGTTTTCCTGGAGTTGTTGGGTAGCAAACACCATCTTGACTATTCCTTGGCATCAAGTAGATGACCATCTTCCAGGTGAAGGATCTGCCTGTTAGGGAGGACTCTGGCAAGAATCTTGCCTGCAGTGACTAAGAGGGAGATCACTTTGTGATTGGCAAAGGACAACCTCTTTCCTTTACCTTTATGGAGATGGACAGTGGAGGCATCCTTGAACTTCTGGGGGATAACCTTCTCTTGCCATATAACCTGGAAGACTTCAGTCAGCTTTTGTATGCACATTGGACCCTCTGCCTTGTCAATCTCAGTTGATGTAGAATCAGCACCAGGTTCTTTGCCATGCAAGAGGAACCTAACTGCATTCAAACCTATTCTTCAGTTGGAAGTTCAGCTAGAGAGAGATTGACTTAAACCTGAGGTATACAGTCAATAGCTTTAGCCCTGATTTATGAGTCTGTTGAGAAAACTCTGGAAGTGTTAAGCACATGTCTCACTCAGGGATCATGTCCTTATCCTAATCAAGGTGGCTCCATCAGTACTGAGTAGTTGAAGTGCCCCATAAGTCCTTGGCCCATAAATATCCTTCAGGGCATCATGAAAGTACTTTGGATTGTTGTTATAAGTGTAAAACTGAGCCAAGAATCCTGCATCTCTCTAGGCTTTGCTTGCAATTCATTGCTTTTTTTGCTTTTTGGTGAGGCAATTTGGGGTTAAGTGACTTGCCCAGGGTCACAGCTAGTAAGTGTCAATTGTCTGACTCAGGTCCTCCTGACTCCAAGGCCAGAGCTGTAGCCACTGGGCCACCTAGCTGCCCCTTGCAATTCCCTTTTGAGGGAGTTAAATGCTGCCTTCTTGGAGAGGCATGAACTATCCTGCTGGTAAACCCCATGGATTTCTCAGTTTTTGTTTTTCATTTAGTGCCTTCTGAATTTCTCTGTCTTCAACAAACCAACCTAGATGTTTACAAGTGTTCTGGCCCAGATGAGTCAATGCAGTGCTGTACACCAGATCTCTGAAAGCTGCCTACCCCTTTTCTGCTGCACTGGACTTTGGCTCTCCCTGCAAGTTAGCAACCAATTGTTGATGCTCAAAGAAGTGCTTCTAATCTCTTGATATGATGCCTTCTAGGAGTGGTCTTGCTTGGGACTGCTGCTCTTATTGGACTTGACTGTTTAGCTGTCAGAGAATAGGTCTATGATCAATCCAGAGCTCTTCACCATGCATCACCTTCATCACTCTCACATCTTATCTGTATCATCTCCCTTACTATGGCATAGTCTATTAAATATCAATGTTTGCTGTGAGTGTGCATCCACAAAGTTTTATTGCATTTAGGTAAATGGAAGATGGTGTTGGTGAGGAGAAGGTCATGAGACTCACATCTTCAACAGCAAGTAACTGTTCATGGTGCTAAGTTTCTGCCTACTCTGATGTTAAAGTCAACCAGATTACAAGCTTGTCCCTCTTCGGGACATTGGTGATGAGGTCTTCCTAAAATTGTTCCTTGACCTCCTTAGTGTTCATCATAGGCACTGATGATGGTGACTCTTCTGACTCCCAATAGGAAGGGCTCCCCTGTCTCTAGTGCTTCTATATTACGTTCCTCATAACAACTCTAATCTGGTAGGTGGCTAGGAAAAGCCATTTTCGTCATTTGATGCATGAGGAAATGGAAACTCAGAAAGGCTGAGTGAATGGTCTATGGTCACACAGCTACAATGTGTGGGAGCTAGGATTCAGAACCAGCTTTTATTCATGGTGGCTAAGGCTCTGGGCTTGCAGTCAAGAAGGTCTGCGTTCAAATCCCATTTCAGGCACTTACTAACTGGATGAATCACTTCCTTCCCTCAGTTTCCTCAGTGGTAAAATGAGGGGTATAGAGTCTGACCCTTCCAACCCTAAATCTAGGGTCTAGTGCTTTTAAAGGGTCCAAGTATGTAAAGGGCATTGTGCTGAGTGTTGGGGGTGGAAGACACCTGAATGTATGGGATACTCATAGAATTTATTATACTTCAGAAGAGGAGAGGAGAGACCAAAGGCTCACAGAGGGGACCTCAGAAGCCATCTGGTCCAACTTCCTCATGTTACAGAGGAGGAAACTGAGGCAGGGGGAATGACTTGAGCCTACCGGAGCACAGGTATGGAGAACTGGAAGGACCTTGGAGGCCAAGCTCTTCATTTTACCCCTGAGGAATCAGGCCCAGGGACTTCTCTAAGGTCATCTAGGCAGTGAGGATCAGAGGTCAAATTCAAACCCAATACTTCTGACTCCAAAGCCAGTGAATGTCTTTCCATTCTCCTCCCATCTCGCCTCCAGATCTCTCTGAGCTTCCTTAGGCTGGTCCTCAAAGGGACACAGTGCTTCCCTCGTTTGTATTCAGCATCTTTCCAGAAGGTGGGCTTGCCCACTGTCTGTGCTCTGGGCCCCTTCCTTAACTAATATTCAGAGGTTCCCCTGCAGTTACTACTGTGGGAAATCCCTTCCCCATTGCTAATCAGGGATAGATCAGGACTTGGAAATGCTCAACACCTTTTTTTGTATTATGGTCTGGGTTCCTGGCACTCTGGGGAAGCACACAGGCCGCTTCTCAGAATAATGTGGTGGTGGTGGTGTTTCTTCATTTAATGAAGGTTTTATTTTTTATTAATTTTTAATACTGTTTTTTTTTAATTCTGGGTTCCAAATTCTCTCCCTCCCTCTAGCTCTTCCCCTATAGAATTAACAGGCAGGTAATATGGTATCAAGTAGAATAATGTCATAAATATATAAAAATGCAGAGTAAGACTAGGAAAACCAGGAGTTTGTGACAATAAAGATGGCATTTTTTCTCATCTGAAAATTTCCCATGGACCCCAGGTGGAGAACCCCTGTCCCAGAGGGTCACCAAAGGACCATGGGGGTGAAGGCACTTGTCCTGGGTCACTCAGCCATCCTTCCCAATTCCAAACCCAGCCCTTTCTCTCCCAGACCAGAAAAACACAGAAAACACCAGCTGCTATCATCATCAGCACTTTTATTAGTAAAAACGGAGACCCAAGGGTCACAAAGGTCTGAAGCTGGCTTGATTGGAGGGCTCATTGGAATTCCACCTTTCTAACGTTGAGGTCACCTTGAAATGACATGAATTGTAGTTTTTCAAGCTGAAGGCGATTGGGGAAAGTGAACGTATAGTCCTCATTCGTCCTCACTCTAAAACCGTTTTCATCAAAGGTTATGGTAATCTGAATGGGGAGAGGACAGAAGGAGCTGAACCCAGAAGCCTGGGCTTGGAGACAGGAAGACCTGGGTTCAAATTCCCCCTCAAGAAACTTACTACAAAGACATAATGTGACCCTGAGCAAGGTCTCATGCTGATCCTCAGTTTCCCTTTCTGTAAAATGAGGTCAGGCTAGATTGCTCCTGAGGTTCCTTGTAGCTTGAAATCTAGGGTCCTATTTTGTGTCCTGGGTTACCCCAGAGTCCTCTCTAATCTTATTGGGACCATGGTCCTTCACAATTCCCTCCCTTTCCCCATCCCCCATTCCAGCTCTGGGGATACTGGGCTCCTTGCAATTGACATTTAGAAACCTGTTGACCCCTTTCTCCTGTAGCTTTTCATCTTTTCCTCATCCAAATTTGCTTCCAAGACTTTTCCTTCAAATACAAGGGCTGGATGAGATCATCTCTTGGATCTTTCCCAGTTCTAACCGTATTTTATGTTCTGATTCTCTGCTCTCACCTCTATTGTGGTCCCTCGTACATAAGGGAAGTTGTCTCCCTTTTGTTCTGTACCCCAGTTGGTTTCTGTCAGGTCATTGCAGATGACTGTGTTCAATTGACCATAATAGTTGAAGCGTGCATTGTAGTGAAAGGCAAGCAGATGTTGGTTCTTGCCCAGGTTAATTTTAAATCTGGGAATCGAGAAGACATCTCCATCATTAGCATGGGTCTCAGAGCCTTGGAAACTCCCCCTGTGAGAGTGCCAGAGCAGAAGAACCCCAAAGGGCCTCTCACCCAATCCTGACCTGAAATACCTTGGCTTCTCTTCTGAAATCCCCTCCCAACCCCACCCTGTTCAACAAGTAACCATGCTACACATTTTACTACCTCCAGAGGCAGGGAGCTCACTACCTATCCAAACCATCCATTCCAGGTACTGAGTAGCTCCTGTTAGCAAGTTTTCCCTGATGTTGAGAGTCATGGCCCTGGCATCTGGGGCTGAGACAAAAGTAGCTTGATGCTTCTAATCAAGATCAAGTGCAAGCAGGTTTATAAAGGATTCAGCTCTCACCCACAGTTAAATTTTGTCTTATCCCTCCCATATCTCACTTACACTGATGCATCAGGCAGTATATCTCCTTTTATTCTTATAACTACTCCTTTGTGGAGGTCCAATTCTTGAATATACATATTCTGAAAAGACCAAATAGAGTAAGGTCAGGACTGGCAGAGAACTGAGGGGACCCAGAGCTTCTGGTTGGGGTAGAGGTAGGTTCCAGGTTCTAAGAAAGGTTTTGGAAAAGCATGTGCTCCTCCAGGTTAGCTGTCAGTCCCAGCTCTGTGACCTTGGGAAAGCCAATTCATGTCTCTGGGCCTCAGTTTCCCTATCTGTTAAATGAGGAATTAGACTAGGTGATTGATCTAGTCCAGTCTTCACTTTACAGATAAGGAAACTGAGGCTCCAAGAAAGAAGAAGGGACCTGTCCCAGGTGACACCAGTGAGCCATAGAATCAGAAGTGGAATCCAAGCTTTTCCTGGGTCCAGGCCCATGTGTTCTGTCTATTGCACTGGCTACCCCATCACTATCTTTGGCTGGCATTATATGTGTTCTGGCCCTTGGGAAAGGTTGAGGTAGGAAGGGAGGACAAGGGTGCTACTCCAAGGGTAGAAGATAGGCTATAGATGGTAGCTCAATGGGGAAACTCCCAGGTAAACCGTACCTTGCCTACCTCATTCTCCCCAAGGATTGTTCCATCCTCCTCATTCTCTGACAGGTGCCCTCATCTCACTAAGCAGGGAAGGAATTCCTCCCCAGGAAAGTTTTCAGGAAGACCTTCCTCCATTCCCCAGACCCAAGCTAGGCAGGAGCCAGCCATACTGAGGAAAAGGGGAGTTGGCAAGGGAGGGGGAGGGTCAGAAAGAATGGGGAATCAAGGATGAACTTGGCAGAAACACTAAGATCAAGGAACTCAGCTTCTGGGGTCCCCCGCCCCTTTAGTAGAAGAGTAAGGGCAACAGGGCAGCACAGATGTGGGGTCCCTCCTTGTTCTAAATCAAAAGAGAAGTAATGGGGGGTTGAAGGGAGAGTTATCATGTGGGTTACCTAGAGAAGAGGCAAGAAGTGTATTTGTGAGGTTAATTCGATCTTATTTTTAAAGGGGACAGGACTAGGATTTGGAAGGACCTGAGGAATCAATTGCCTCTACCCCACCCTGTTGGCCATCTCCAGCCTCCTCCTTTTCCAGTGGAGCCTCCTTGGCCTGAACCCTTTCCACACAATCAGGCTGAGCTGGAGTTAACTCCCTGAGACAGTCATTCATTCCAGAAAGTCTGGTCCTCTGGCAGAAGATTCCTCTCTGCCCACCTCTTCCCTTTCCCTTCCTTCTCAACTCAAGGAGGGGGATTCTCCACATCCTACCCTCATGTCCACGCACATGTAGCCCCTCACAGCCAAGGGACACCCTCCTTCGAGATTGGCGACCCAGCAGCCTCCAGGGCACGTGTGGTCTTCTAGGTCCTTGGGTGCAGCCTTTTCACCGAGTCCAGGTTTTACACAACAAATGCTTTTATTAAGGGGATTTGTTCTGTGAAGTGTGGATTCAGTTAAAGGGCCGAGGACCTAGACAGCCACATGTGGCCTCCAGGCTGCAGCTTTCCCACCCTTGCCCTACTCTAACCCATGCCAAGTCCCAGTTTCTCTTACTCTCCTCTCCCCAGGATCTCTCTGGACTTACCAGCTTGACAAAGACCTTGCACCAGTAGCCAGGGATAGCGGACAGCTTCAAGGTGAGGGGGGCATGGGAGGGGCAGCCCTTCCCAAGGCTGAGAAGATCGGGGTCAGGGGATGGAGAAGAAAAAGGTACCCAGTCCAAACGCAGAGGAAAGGTAGAGCGTTCCCACCCGCTCGGGAAAACAGCCTCCTGGAATCTCCGGAATCCTTTCTAAGCACCAACCCCACAGAATCCCCCACCCTCGGACCCTCAGCCTATACCTTGGACAAGGATCCCCGCAGCCTATACTCTGGCGCACTCACTTGGGGCATAACGAAGGGTGAGAAATGCTCCTGCAATTCTCTTGGCTGCGCTGGATTCCCGAAGGGTAACGTCCAACTCCAGCGCAGAGATGGTGAATCAGGGACCCGTCGGACTCTTCAAATAGAGGGTCAAGCTTCTGTGGAGTCCAGAGCAACACCCCACCCCAGCCCCGCCCCCTCGAACTTTCCCCCAAGTACAAAAAGGGAGGGGCCCGAAACTGAGGGGCAGGGCCTGTGGACTTTTTGAAGTCTTTCTTGCAAGGTCAGCCAATCAAGGTAGTGACATTCCTGTTGCCACACCCCCTCCACATCCAGCTCCATTCCATTCTAGCTTTTTCCCCACATCCAGACGCCAAAAACTGTCCTTTATGGGATGAGGTTGAGGCTAGTGCTAGAGAGATTGGGGGAACCAATTGAAAACTAGTTTCAGAATGAACAGGAATCTGATATTGGCAGCAAGGGGGTGAGGGCATACTGTGGAGGGAAGACCAAGCTCTGGTCTGGGTCAGAGTCAGCCTCTTGGCTTCAAAGAGTCCATCTGAAGGGGGAAATCCTAATCAGAGGATGGTAAAGCATGGAAAAACATAAGAAAACAACTGGTTTTAGAGTGGAGGATCAGTGGAATAGATTAAATATGCAAGACACTGTAGTCAATGACTATAGTAATCTCTTATTTGATAAACCCAAAGACCCCAGCTTCTGGGATAAGAACCCACTCTTTGACAAAAACTGCTGGGAAAACTGGAAAAGAGTATGGCAGAAACTAGGCATAGACCAAAATCTCACACCATATACCAAAATAAAGTCAAAATGGGTTCATGATTTAGATATAAAGGCTGATACTATAAGCAAACTGGGAGAGCAAGGAATAGTTTACCTGTCAGATCTATGGAGAAAAGAAGAATTCATGACCAAACAGGAGATAAAGAACATTACAAAAAGCAAAATAGATAATTTTGATTACATTAAATTAAAAAGTTTTTGCACAAACAAAGCCAATGCTACTAAGATTAGAAGGAAGGTAGAAAATTGGGAAAGAATTTTTACAATCAGTCTCTCTGATAAGGACCTCATTTCTAAAATACATAGAGAATTAAGTGAAATTTATAAGAATACAAGCCATTCCCCCAATTGATAAATGGTCCAAGGATATGAACAGTCAGTTCTCAGATGAAGAAATTAAAGCCATCTATAGTCATATGAAAAAATGCTCTAAATCACTATTGATTAGAGAAATGCAAATCAAAACAACTCTGAGGTACCACATCACACCTATCAGAATGGCCAACGTGACAAAACAGGAAAATGATAAATGTTGGAGAAGATGTGGGAAAATTGGAACACTAATGCATTGTTGGTGGAGCTGTGAAATGATCCAACCATTTTGGAGAGCAATTTGGAACTATGCCCAAAGGGCTATAAAAATGTGCATACCCTTTGACCCAGCAATAGCATTTCTAGGGCTATATCCCAAAGAGATTGCACAAATGGGAAAAGGATCGACATGTACAAAATATTAATAGCAGCTCTTTTTGTGGTGGCAAAGAATTGGAAATTGAGAGGATGCCCATCAATTGGGGAATGGCTAAGCAAGTTGTGGTATATGAATGTAATGGAATACTATTGTGCTATAAGAAATGATGAACAAGCTGACTTCCGAAAAACCTGGAAAGATTTGTATGGTCTGATGCTGAGTGAAGTGAGCAGAACCAAGAGAACGTTGTACGCAATAACAACCACGTTGTGTGATGACTAATATCGATAGATTTAACCTTTCCTGGCAATACAAGGATCTAAGACAACTCCAGAGGGCCTGTGATGGAAAATGCTATTCACATCCAAAGAAAGAACTATGGAAGTTGAATTGGTATTTTTTTTCTCTTCTGTTGAGTTTTTGTTTCCTCTTTCTGATGGTTCCTCCTATTGGTTTTAATTTTTACTTACAACATCACTAATGTGAAAATATGTTTAATATGAATGTAAATGTACAGATTGTGCACTGTCTTGGGGGGGTGGGGAGGAAGGGGGAGAAAAATTTTAAACTCAAAAGCTTATGGAAGTGATTATTGATAAATCAAAATAAATTAATAAAAAAAAGAAAACAACTGGTTTCTTAACAAATGTAGAAATTCTAACCACAAGCAAAGGTCCCAGGATAGGGGCCCCAGGAAGTCTGTGACACAACCTCCCCTGGGGCACCCACAGACTTCTCCACTGACACCCTGAGGACAATGAAACAAAGGCGCAAGGTCAGAGGATACAGCCCCGGTGATTCCATTAAACCAAAGAGGGTTGGTTGATGGAGAGAGGATGAGGGGTCATGAGCTCCCAGAGTGAAAAGCAGGGATCCTCTTTTGCCATCTTGCCTACTCTTTCACCCCTGCCTCTTGATCCTCTCAGTAGGAGGACTTTGAAGCTCTAAGTCATATACATTCTCTGACCCTCAGTTTGCTCATCTGTAAATTGGGATCCTAATAGAAATAAAAGTAGGGCGTCAAAGTCCATAGAAATGCACTCCCTTAAAGTCAAGAAGACCTGGGTTCAAATCCCACCTCCCAAGTCACCTGACTTTCCAGTGCTTAAAATCACTCTCTAAGACAAGTGCTCTTAAGCTGAGGTTCTGAGATTTCCCTGGGATCCATGGATAGATTACAAAGGATTTGTGAATTTGGAGAGGAAAAAAGGAAATTGAATCTTATTTTCCCTGAACTTTAAATGAAATGTATTATTTTCTTCTACTATTTAAATTTTTTTTTTCTCAGAAGGGCTTCACCAAACTGCCCGGAGGGTCAAAGGCACAAACCAGTGAATGGACTTCTGCCTGAAGTCTCAATGTTTCAAAGAAGGTACTGGCTTGGTTTTTTGGGGGGAGTTTGCTCACCTGGGAGTTCCCAATACATACAATGTCATAGCAGATAGGATTCCTGTCCCTATTCCCTAACAGAATCATCAAATTTCTGCTTGGAAGGGACCTCAGACAGCTATTGAAATAAAATCTTCCTTTGAAACATTTACCCCAAATGGTCACTGGGTTCCCTATGAAGATTTCCAATAATGGGAAACTCACTCCCTATGGCATCAACTAGTTCCACTTCTGAACAGCCCCCCTAGTTGGATTGAATGGACAAGTCCATCTTCACCTTCCCTAATTCCTCCTGGTTCTGCCTCTGGGGCTGAGCAGGACCTCCTGTAGGACAGCCTCTCTATCCTTGCAGGCAAAGCTCAGGTGCCCAAGCCCAACACCCTCAACTATTCTGTCTCCCACCATCTATCTCAAGAATAAGAGAAATACTTCATAAACCTTGGAGAAGTTGGAGTAACAGAAACCATGACACCCAGGCAGAGGCAGCCCCCGACAGTGAGTAGGGCAGATCAGACACAGCTCCCTTCCTCCCAAGCCCCTCAGCAACCTCAAGTGCCTCACATCCTGAGCCTGATTCCAACCCCTTCATCTCCACAGTCCTGGCACCACCCCACTCCTCCACTCCCTGCACTGCCAGTTGTGTGACCTGTGGTCAAGTTATATCTCCACTCTGAATCTTAGTTTCCTCCTCTATAAAAAGGAGATATGCATCCTTGGACCAACTTCCTCCCTAGATGTTATGGATGAAAGATGAAATGATTGAGGAGACAAAGGCTCTGTGTTCCAAGCTTATCGATGTCTCAAGGAACGCCTGGCAACTGCCAACAAACCAGGATCTGGCATCTTCCTCACTTTAGGGCAGCCCCCCAAATACAGGGGAAGACAGATTTTTATACATAGGAAACAATCAAATTGAGGCCAATTTGGGGCAGCTAGGTGAAGCAGTGGATAGAGAACCAGCCTTGGAGTCAGAAGGTCCTGAGTTCAAATCTGACCTCAGACACATAACACTCATTAACTGTGTGACTCTGGGCAAGTCACTTAACCCCAATTGCCTCATCAAAAAATGAGGCCAATTAATTCAAAGGAAATATATAATATTAGTTAATTTGATTTCTAATTGGCGGAAAGATTAGGAAATTTCCAAATTGGGAGAGAAATAGTCAACAGGTACAATTCCCTGAATTCAGAAAAAGAGGTGTCCCACTCCCCCCACATGTCTTCATACAATCAAAGGAATATGGAAACAGTAACTGATTGATCAGTACAGGGCCAATTTTCAGATTAGACATACAGGTTGTTTCTGATGTAGGATTGTGAGAAAACTACTTGCATCAATGTTTGGACCTGGCCAGTTTTCTGGTCAGCATAACTTAGTTCC